CGGGGCGGGGCGGGTGTACCGAACTGAACACCCTTCATTACCCCGGACCGGGGGACCCAGGTGCCCCTTCGCTGGGGGCCGGCAGCTGCTCCGGCCCCACCAGATCCTAGATCCTTCCTGCCTGACGCCCGTCTTGTCCTTCTGCCCCGCAGCCCGCCGCCCTGCACGACCTGCGGCGCTGGACGTCGGTGGAGGCGATGGGCGACGTCACGGTGCACCCGGACTGCACCATCCGCATCACCTCGGACACCACCACCGGGCTGGACGCGAGCGAGGAGGTGGACGGCGTCGGCGGCGAGGCGGTCCGGGACCAGCGCGCCGCCGGCGACGCGACGCTCTGCGCCTCGGTGCGCCAGGACGAGGTGGACCACCAGCTGCCCACCACGGAGGAGCAGGTCAAGGCCATCGCGGGAAGGTGAGTTTGCGGCGGGCGTTGTTCCCCGTCGCGGGGCGTTCCGCGGGGAAAGTTGTGTGTGTCTGACTACTTCAAACAACTTCTCTTTCTCCACCAGGTTCCCGCCAGAGGTCGTCAAGATGGACGTGACCGGCCGGCCCTTCACCAGGATGTCGCGGCACCGGCGCTCGCTCATCCACCCGGGCCCCGCGGCGGACGCGGTGGTCGACGCGGAGGTGCGGCGGAGGACGCGGCCGCGGCGCCAACGCAGCCGGCGCCGGAACACCATCGCCGGCACGGACCAGAAGGAGATCGAGGAGGCTCTGGGCGCGGACCGGTCGGCGGCCGAGGCCGGCGGCGGCACGCTCGCCACCGTGGACGACATGATCCTGAGCAGCAGCGCCGTGCTCCACCCCAAGTGCGCCAAGGAGGCGCACTCGGACCTCAAGAAGTGGGCGTTCAACTCGCTCAAGCGCTGGGGGCGGTCGCGGCTGCGCGCCATCGGCCAGCTCAACTCGTCCACCTCGTCCAACCTCGTGTCGGGCGAGCTGCACGCTGCGGACCCCGTGGACGACATCAACGTGTACGAGACGGTGGCCGTCAAGCGGCGGGGCGCGGGCAACATCCCGATCACGGCGGGGCTCTCGGGCCCCATGTCGCTGGCCGTCAAGCTGCGCGAGGGCGCCCTGGGCCACCGCCGGCTCAAGATCAGCGACGACCCCCCGCACTCCAGCAGCGGAAACTGGAGCGCCAGCTCCGAGAGCGGCCGGGCGTCCGTCAACTCGGACTCCAGCCACCAGCCCAAGTCCAGTACCTGGTGAGTTATTCGAAAAGAAAAGGAAACAGAAAAAAATCCTACATGTATTTAAAAGACAAAAACCCAAAAAAACAACCTTTGTTGAAAACTGGAGAAGTTGCTCAGAGCCCGTCAGCATCGTGGATAAAACTTACGTCTCATCACACATGTTTTTCTCTTTGCAGTAGCAGTGTGTTACCCAACCGTAGAAGATTCATCAACCACTCCACGTCTTCGTCTGTCACCTCAGAAGGAACTCTTACACCAGAGGATATGGCGGCGGCTCCGTTTTTGGATGATGGTGAAACGAGCTCAGTATGTCTGGTTTTGACTTTATTTTACTCCTTTAGCTTTTTTCATACAGTAATTTCCTCTACCTTTGAGTTTGTTTTCTATGATTCACTGCCATCCCCTTGTAGCTGTCCTCGTGTCTTCATATTCCCGAAAAATCGTAATTGTTTAGTTAATTTTTGTTTTGCCTCTCTCACTAGTTGTGTGCTCATCCGTAATTTCTTTACAAAATAGACCCCGTCATAATATTCCTTCCTTATTACCTTTTTTTTTCTTTTTTTAATTCGACAAGCAATTGAAGACAATGAATATTTCACAGGCTTGTTACCCTGGAGCAGCGATTGGGTGGCTCGGCATGACGGACCGCAGCATTTCTGATGTCAATCTCTCTACCATACGGAACGAGAAGGTGGCAATTCCCAGCTTCTCATTCTTGTTCAACACAATAGCAGTGTAGCAAGCACATGCTTCTTTTGCCCAAGTTTTCATGAATAGATCTTGAACTGCATTGTATGGTGGAGCGACCATGTATGTTAAGTTTGCCATACAGATGAAAGCAGAAAGAGGAAAAAAAATTGTATTTTTGGTACAGTGCTCGAGTAGACAGTTCCGGTCTGCACTGAGCATGTGCAGTGCATAGTTATATTTTATCCACTCTTTCCTTATTCCCTTTTGCTTCAATTTCTTCAAATTATGCTGTGGTTCAAGAGTTATTCATAATTAATTTGGAATGGCTTATAAAGCAGATCGCATAGACTGTAGACTTATGAATGTAGTTGTTTCTTGTCATCTTACTTTTACAGGTCACTCGAAGAAAAATAGTGTCTTACGTATCAAATTATAGCAGATTCGTCCTCACTCTTTCTTAAAAAAATCTTCTAACAAAACATTATTCAATTTTTGATAATGCCTCAAATGTTAATATGGCTTTTAAAGTTTTTACTATAGATCAAAGAAACATTTTAGATGCTTATGAATTTTGGACTGTTCTATCTTATAATTGCATGGTTGTTGTATTGATTTATTATTACTGTGATAGATAATTGCTACACGAATGGCTTCTAATATTTCTTGTGGTATCTGGTCTTTATCAGGAGCCTTCTTTGGTTTTTAGTGAAGCGCAGCAGTTTGAATATGCTCTGCATTCTTCCAAAAATCAACTATATTGGGAAGAAACTGATTTTGCTGTATTCTTTTTTTAGGTCTATTCTTGTGACACTGAAGGCTATTATACATCATTTCACATGGATAGTGGTCTGAAAACCCTGAAGGAGGAGGAGGTCGGAGCTGGTCTGTCCCTCCCTGCCACCCCGATGCATTCCACATCTGCCCTTTCTAACTGTTCATCTGGAAGGGGTTCTGCCAGCCTAGCCCAGCTGACAGCAGAGAGTGAATACGAATTATTTGGAAAAGGCTCAACATCAACGACAGCTAGTTCTGCAGGAACTGTGTGCACTACTCTGCTGGTGGATAATAGTAGAGGAGGGGACAATAGTCTTGGAAGTGACCGCTCTCTTAGTAGTAAAGGACCAGCTGTTCCGGAACGAAAGAGCTCCCTTGTAAGTCTTGTCTGCTAATAATACCAGGGAAAACGATAAGGGCTATGAACTTCTGCTTATTTCAATTATTTACTACTTCCTTTATTCTTCCAGAATGTTCCATGCTCATCGCAAGAGTGTCCACCATGTTCTACTGTGGTTGCCCTTATACATAACACAAGTCAAGGTCATTCACCACGGTCTCTCTCGGGAGATTCCCCTGACAGTGGACACAATACCTCAAGTTCCCCCGCCAATTCTGTGAGTGGTCCTCGAGACATGGAGACTGATGCCCTCATATCACCTATTCCAAGTTTAGGATCAGAAATGGAATTTTCAGAGTGTTCTGATTTTGAAGGTAAATGTTGAAATGTGTGTTTTAATTTTTGAAACTGACATTAAAATTGTACTTAACTTATTTTATGATTTTAGGCACAGATCGTATAGAAAGAATACGTGTAAAAACCACAATAAATACCAGTAGAATTCCATCAATGTGTGCAATCACTCCACCTCAAAGTGACGATGAAACCAGTGTGAGACAATTTGCATCCAGTGGGGATGATATAGCGAAACCAAATAGTAATGTTCGAGCAGCTGCACCTCTTCCTCAAAATACTAGGTAATTTTGATAACAGAGGTATTTCATATAAAATTTTTAAACAACTAAACA